GTGCAGGGGTCAAAGGGTGCTGCCTGACCCCGCTGTGTCCTCCCTGCCACCTGGGTGGCCTTGAGGATGCTCCTACACCTGCGCGCCTGGGCTCAGCAGCCAGGGAGACATGTGGGGACTCTACAGGGGGGTGTGGGATGTGCAGGGACACCCCCTTGCTCCCTCTCCCCTGGGGCGGCCCGAGCCCACACCCCCCTGCTCCCTCTCCCCTGGGGCAGCCCAAGCCCAAGTGGCAGGGGTCTCTCCCTCCCCGGGGCCCATAACCCCACCCCCAGTGTGATGTCTGCGGGCGCGGGGGGATGTGGGGAGGCGGGAGTAGTGCTGGCTTCCCGCCCCGACAACCACAGCAGCAGCGGCAGCAGCATCTCCTGCAGGCCCGGCTGCAGCATCCCTCCGAGCCAGCATCTGCACCCCCTGTGCCTGCCTGGACGCTGCACCGCGACCTGCTCCAGCCCACGCAGCCGGCAGGGACCGGCACAGGGCGGGGATGGCATGCAAATGAGGAAGGGAGGGGCAGGGCTAAGAACGGAAACCCTGCAATGTGGGAGAGGGGAGGAGCTGGCATGCAAATGAGGAAGGGAGGGGTGGGGCGAGGAAGGGACACTGGGAAATGAGAGGGGAGGGGTGGAGCTGTACCGCGTCGGCAACGTCAAGCTGACTTGGTGCGTGTGGGAACTTTGTCCCTTCCCCAGCCCTTCAGCAGCCATTAGGAAGCTGCTGAGGGACTGGGGGAGGGACAAGAGGTGGGAACGAAAGTAAGCAGTGTTTACTTTTGTTTCCCATCCCAGCACCGTGGGCCTCAGAAAATGGCTTGGCGGGCCGTATGTTGGACAAGCCTGTTATAGAGACTTGTATCCCAAAAACAAGGAATTGTCCCAATAGAGTCCTTTCGAATAATGAAGGATGGAGCTTCAGTAAATTTGCTAAATTTGTCTAAGTTTGTTGGGCTGCAAAAATTATAGGGATTAGAGAATCCAGCCCCTAACAATCTATGAATTAGGAAGATGATGTTAAGTAGACCGTATGATGGTCCCTAATGGAAAGGGAAACACAAATGCCTGCTCAATTTCCACCCATACGGAAGTGAGTTATCAGTCCTATCAGTCATCCAGTACATAGCCTGACTTACTCATAAGGCATTGTGATTGTGACTTCCTCAGAAATTCAGAAGATGAAAGCCACATATTTCAATTGGTAGTTGTATTTTTTTTTTAAATGAAAGTTGAACTCTTTTATCCTTTCCCTGTACAAATGTGTTAAAAACAACCTAATGTTCAACAAAATAGGATTGGGGATTACAACATGTAGGTTACAAAATAAGTGAATTGGGTAAGGCAGGGCATGCATTTTTTAAATGTTAACACCTCCATCTCCCAAGGATATTGCCAAAGTGCTCCATTTGTCCAAGTCCTGTAATATACTATTGAGAAGCTTCTGGATGTTTTGGCAGACAATTGCATTAACATTTTTGGGTATTTTAATACCCCAGAAATGTAATGTGTTCTGCTTGCCACTGAAACAGTCATTTGCTGAACACATCCTTTGTGGCATACTTTTTTAGAGTAACTCATGATTTATTCTAATTAATTTTACATCTAGATATCATTGATCAACAATCTTAACAATCTAAGATGGCAAGAGCTGATCTATCAGGCTGTGATGGAAATATTAGTGCATCTGCATGTAACAGGATCTTATGTTCACTGCCTCCTGCCTATCTCCTGATGCCTTTGATATCATGCTTATTTCTTATAGCTATTGTCAGTGGTTCTAATGTTGAATCAAATAGAAGGAGTAATAATGGGCAACCTTGTCAAGTTCCCGTTGCAGGGGAAATAGATTGGATAGCATATTATTGGTCACAGCTCTTGGAAGTGGGCTCTGTATATAGCAGGGGCAGGCAAAGTCCAGCCCGCAGGTTGGATCACATCCATGATGGACTCCATTTCCCAGCAGCCCCTGCCTGCGTCACTATGGTCAGCCTCCATGGAGACCCCAGGAGCCATAACACCTTGGGGCCAGAGAGTCCACGGAGACTGGCCTGAGCAGCACTGGCAGGGTGCCCGCTGGGGCTGGGACCTTGCGGCAGTGGCAGCTGGGGTAAAGGTGCAATCCACTGCGCCAGGGGCGTGCAGGCAGCAGATTGCAGGTCTCCCCTGACTCTGGCCGCAGCTGTCACCGCTGCAAGATCCCGGTCCTGGAGCAGCTCCCTGCCCAGTCACACACCCTGCCAGTGCTGCCCTCACTGGCCCTGAGCTGTCATGGCCTGCTGCTCCTGGGGTCTCCATTGAGACCAGCCAGAGTGATGTGCTGGGGCATGGAGTCCGGCCACCGGCCAGTTCCGCCATTTTGACCACACCTGGTATACAGCAACTGTATTCACCTCATGAATTATTTACTGAAACACAAAGACTTTCTCAGCATCAAATGCTAGAAGAGCCATAGGGACTTTGTAATTTTATTCTGCTGTTACTATAACACGTTAGTAATTTTCAGTCTTTAGAACTAAGGAAATATGGGGTGTTATGGTCATTTTTCTTTTTTTCCATAGGAATTGTAACTTTATCGCTTTTTAGATTTATAACTTTTGTTATCTGTAAACTTTCTAGGTTTTTAACCATGTTCCTTATTTATAAGCATGTATTTTCCTTTTCTGTAGTCTAACTGTTTTGATTTTATGTAACCATGTTCATTTTTCAGGATTCGACAAGATCGTATTGGCTGTAACAGGAATAACAAGAGTTAGATGGAGTTCCATATATACAAGTTACAAAGTAAAAGCTTTGTTAAAGTTTTCATATAATCATCCTTTTAGACTACTAGATTTTTCATCTATATGTGTTTCCAATCTCTCTTTTTTCACTTTTGGATGTTTAAAAATATATGAAAGATTTCTCTGTCTTTGTTATATCACAGATTGCTGAACTGTTGCCCACTTTTCATGCTGCTACTGGGAGTTTTATACCCTTCAGATACTTCTCAGTGGTTGATGCTGTAAGGGGTTGACCAGGCCATAGGACAGGAGTGGACAAAATATGGCCCGTGGGCTGAATCTGGCTCACGAGGCTGTTCTATCCAGCCCGCCGGGCCCCTAAAATTTTTAGAAAATTCATATTTATCTGCACTTGGTTCCTGTCAAAAATGACTGGAGCCAGGGGCAGTAGAACCCAGGGGAAGCCCGGTGGGCTCCCACAACAGCAGGGCCTTCCTGGCCCCATCTCCTG